CTGAACAGATGAAGCATTTAATAGAAAGTAATATGTGGTGGCAAACATTATCTGTGCAGTGCTCTGCAATGGTAATTATTATTTTGAGGTGGAAGGGGGGGAAATGTCGCTAAACAAACTGGGGGTCATACAGAGCCCTGAAGAATTAAAATGTGAAATAAACTTCACAGGGAATAGTTTAGCAGCACACTGCTGATGTATCCAATTTTGATTAAGGAAAAGCTACTACTCCCTCCCTTACTGTACCATCCTTCCTTCCCTCACTTCCGTTTCTGGACTCACCCTGGGTCAGCAGTAACAGCCTGGCTGATCAGACCCTGATCCACCATGAGGCCTGGCGTTGACCCCCGTAACCTTCTCCAGGTAAACTCCAGGTAAACTCTCCTTTCGTTTCTTTCCCTCCCAGTCCAAGCTCCACTTCTTTCTCCACCCTTTCTTTCCACTTCCCACCTTTCCACTTCCCTCCCGTCTCCTGCTCTTCCAAACTTTCGTCTAACCATGACTCTCCTCTCTCCCATCTCCTTCCTTACCACCCTCGCCATAGTCAGGAATTTAACTTAAAGTCCTGCAAAGTTCTAAAAAAAATCATTTTGATACTAGTCGATATTTACATATATTTCTCGAGAGTGTCCACTTTTTGTTTTGCTGGACGAGTTTCTAGGAGTCTTCATAACCATGTATGAGATCCAGCTCCAGGAATATTGCGACCCAAGAGCCGCTCCAGTGATCAACTGCCTTCGTGGGGAGACTCGTGTTCGTGGTCATGTATACAGAGGCAGAGTTCATGGTAACCGTAGATGTCTGTAGCAGCTGCGGCACTAATGATGCTCTCAAGACTTCAGATAAGCAATACAAATTGTGGAATTATACTGCCATTGATTTAATGATTATAAAAGTGTTGTCAGAGTGTTTCAAATGTTGTTAAAATATTCGACTACTGTCATGATTATTTTCGTGTGTTGCCGAGTAGCAAGTAGTAGTGTTGCTAACAATGTTGACCTTTAGACTCTTGGCTTCTTACACCTGAGGATAAATTTCTCATTTCAAGAAAATAAAAATAAAAAAAAATTAAGTTTTCTAAATGATTATTTAAGTTTTCAATATATCGGATTTAAAAATTAATGATTTTGCATTTCATAAAACGTCCACAAACTGTGTTTTTGAACCATCAGTTGAAGTTGTTTTCCATGAAAGACAAGATGCTGTTTGTTGACAATGTTGCGTGCAGTGTGTGTGTACTTACTTCATCTGTGCGTAAAACTCCTTGTTCGTGTGCGTGCGTGTCTCAAGATGTAAATTTGAATCTGGTATAGTAGATAGAGTAGTATATATGTATATATATCGTTATTCCAATCATGAAACTATCGTTATAGAGGAATATACGAGACTACGAGGTATTGACGTCAGGCGGCGCTGGAGACGGTCACTTCTGTTTCTACTCGGGACGTCGATCCCGTGGAAAGGAACAGTTTCGCTTAACCTTCAGAGATTTCTAACCCTCCTGAAACAAAAGAGAGACAGCAGTAGGTGAACCCTCTCTGAACCTATCATTAGGTGCCAATGATCCTTCTGAACCTCTTCAACTTAATTTTTGAGGGCATTCAAGCGGTAATGCAATATCCGTGTGAAGTTAGTGATAAAGCTGTCGTTGAACCCACTATGAACCTTCTTCTGAGATAATAAATGGAGTTTCGAACCTTCTGAAACCAGCCTTACGTGAGAACCGAACCCGTTTTTCAAGATTGAGGAAAAAAAAAAGATAAAATTTACGAGAATCTACTGACAGATCCACCGAAGACTGAGAAACCTACTGGGATCCAGTGGTACCTAGACTAACCATGAGTTACAGAGAAATATCTAGAGGAACTCTCGATGATCCAGTGATACCTAGATTAACCTAAAGCAATGAGAACCCGAAGTTCACCAGAGGAGCCCAGATTAACCCGTAAATCTCCATAGGCACCTAGACGAGCACTGAAGCCTCCAGAAAAACCCCCTGAAAGATCCAGTAGTTCCAGGTGTATACATATGGTTGTGATATATCGTAAGTCGAGTGACGTCATGATTGTTAAGTAGATATTGAAACTCAGTGTTCTGTATATTCGTTGACTCAAAAAAAAAAAATATTTATCAGATGTAAATATATTGTTGACAGGTTTTCAAGAAAACTTTGCAATAGTAGTGTGTTGCTGTCTTTGTTTTTCTTACATGATTTACTGGGAAATGTTTTTAATGGTTATGTTGGGTGACGCAGTTATCCTTGATACATGTGTGATCGGTGAAGTCAGCGTCGTAACTCGTCGTTTGATAGATTGTTGAGACCAGCCAGTGATCTCCAGTGATGTCACTGCTGATGTCATGAGCTCAGTGGCCAGTCAAGAGTTTCTTATCCGGTGTTATCCGGTGTTATCCTGTGTTCAATATATATAATATATATATATGTATATATATGTACATATATATATATATATATATATATATATATATATATATATATTATATATATATATATATATATATATATATATATATCTTCACGATGTATTTCACTGGTGTTAATAATTTATTGATGGCACTAATGTTTCCTGGCAAGAAAAGGACACACACACATACACATTTATATATTGTGTTAGGGGTTGTTAAGGAGAGAGAGAGAGAGGCGAGAGAGAGAGAGACTTAATTTCTCTGCATCAGCAAATTCGTCTCTGTCTATAAATCTATAATTGTTTCTATTCCTGTCTGTGCTTCTGTCCTCCGCGTCGCTCACCTTTCTCTCTCTGCGCTTCTACATTTCCTTTCTTTATGTCTCCCTCCTTTATCCCCCCCTCTCTCATTATATATATATATATATATATATATATATATATATATATATATATATATATATATATATATATATATATATATATATTTATATATATATATATTATATATTTATACATATATATTTATATATATTTATAAAGAAATATATGGTGGGCGAACCTTCTACCGTCCTACTCAACCCACATTAAGCATTTCATTCATAACTCGAACCTGTGGCATTATGTTTCTGCTTGTGTTTTCCTACTTTATTCTCCGTCTTCCACTGTACCCTTGTTCCTTAATCTGTCTTATCCTATGCTTACCTCCCTTAATGTCTACCTTATCCTATACCTGCGTTCCTTGCACTCTACCTTTCATTATACCAACCTACCTCATATTTTGCCGTACCCTATGTGTACCTCCCTTATTATCTACCTTTCCTTATACTTATCGCCATTATTTTGTAACTTATCCTATACCTTCCTCCTTAATCCTATACATGTCTCCCTTATTCTCTACCTTATTCTATACCCATCAATCTTACCCTATACTGCTTCTTACATTTGTTTTCACTCTTATTTTCCCGTTGCCTTATATCTGGCTTCCGTTATACCTGCCTTCCCTCATACTACCCCCGTGTCTTAAATTTTTCCCTTCTTTCTTTTATCTCTCCCGATATTCTTTACCAGGGCGAATGGAAGGCAATCAAGTTCGATCCAAAAAAGGGAGACTTCAAGCACCTTTCATAAGCATACAGGAACCTTCCTCAAGGGCAGTTATGTTCCCTATGCCTTACCTTATACTCTCCCTTACTCAGTATCCCCCCTTAACTCATACACATATCTAGCCTTATACTCTTCAACTTACACTCTTTCACTTATCTTATCTTACACTCTCACCTTCTTCCTTATCTAACCTTAAACTTTCACTTGCTTTTATCTAACCTTATACTAACCCCTACACTTGTATAACCTTATACATTTACTTGTAATTATCTTACAGTTCTGGGAAGTAACTTGTCCCACCTCCCTTTTCTTCCTTTACCATATCTCTCGTGTTCACCCTTCCTCTCCTCTCTCCTCTAACATCCTTTTCTCTCTCCTCTACTTTCTTCTCCCAAAACAGAGACTATTTATATACACCGTTCTAATATCAGCTTGTCTATCGCAGCT